CAAACCTTAAGACTTAATCAAAAAATTAGATATTTTGCATATGAAAAAGCATTGTAATGTTTACTGATAAACTGCCAAATTTTGTTAACATTCACCTACTAATTTAAAAGTTATAGCATGAAAGTATAACAAGCACAAAATGGTTATGAGGTCAGTCCCAGGGACCGAGCCCGGGTTGAAAGAGTTAATACAAATAAACTAATATTTCCTTTACATGTATTAATCTTCACCACTTATAAATAATTAAAATCCTTAATCTATCACAAGAAGTACAGCAATACTGGAGCAGTGTTATTAATATCCCAGACTGTGAATCTAGTGGTTCATGGCCTGTTACTGAAAATGTGTCTTATGCACTTTGGGTTGTTAGTGGGTTATAAAATTGACAGATGCAATCTCAATGTTCAGTTAGAGTAAACCAAAATTGGCAGTGAGTGTTGTTGAGTAACCATCTTCTATCACATTAAAGTCAGGAAATGTTTGTGCAGATAACCCTTGTGTAGCTTTGCACAAATTTCCAAAACAAACAAAATCAGAAATGCTGAACTAACTGTAGTTTTTTTTCTTATTTCAAAATTCTGGCTGAAAGAGAAATTGAACAAAGTATGTAATTTACGGAAATGTTTCGTAAAAGACAAAAAGAAATGAAATAAACATTTGTTGGTTATTAATAATATTCATGATAGTAAATAAAAGTATGTTTGGAAAGAACCTTACTTTTTACTGCACTTATGAGTTGAATGCCATATTTTTCAAAATAAAAACTATCCTGGATTTGATTCTGCAAAGAAGATAAAGTTTAACATTTGAGTTGAGATTTTTCTTCAGTATGCCCAAAACAAAGTGAATCTTATTAAACAGTCATAATGGGCAACCAGAATAGTATTTAACAAATGGAACAATTTATACATTAATTTAAAAAAATCCATCCTTGCAAGCTATTTTTCACATAATACAATAAATATTTTATGTTTTTCAGTATGAGTTTTGGTGACTCCAAACTTCCTGGCTTGTTACTAGCTTGAGTAGGAAATGATGGAAAATCTAAATAAAAAGTGCCTATGAAGAAATCTAATAAACTAACACAAACTGACCACCAGTTTTCTTGAGTATATTAAAGAATATTTGTTAACAAAGGTATTCCTGGTTGAAAAAATTGGATTGAATGCAAACATAGTTCTTTGATTGAATAACGTAAAGGTAGAGTAATCTGTTTTCGTCTATGTTAGTATCAATCAGACAGTTTGGACAATAGTGTTATGCATACTGTATAGTCAAGTAAAATAGGGTGTAAACTACAAACTGAAAATGGTATGATGTAGAGAAACTGGACTCATTCAGCTGTGGGGATAGACCATCTTTTAAATGTTTCGTATGTTGAATGAAATTATAAATCTAGAATTAGGAGTATATATGGACAATTTCTGCTTTTTTGCATCTTTGAGCATAAAAACTATAACAAGCTCAAAATGGTTATGAGGTTTTCTTCAGGTTGTCTTGATTTGAATTTTGAACTCTTTTTTTTTTTTCTAGCCAATCAGCAATGCAGATTTTGTAGTTCCTGTTGAAATTGAAGGCATTGTACATCAGGTATGTGACTGTGATTTTGTTTTAAGTTCAAAATTCTTTATGTAGGTTACCAGGCTGTTTTGGTCAGGATCCTGGAGTTGTTACATAGATTTATTAATTTGGGTAGGTGATTCTGGATATAAATTTGTTTTTATTTGTGTACAAGTTAGTGATTCTGGATGTGAGTACATCTATGTGTATGTATATAACGAGTGATGCGAAGTGGTATGTGATTAATTTATAGTTCAAAATTCTTTAACGATAAAAAAGATACATGTAATATTATGATAGAGTAAAACTACAAAAAAAAATATCTTCTGGGGGATTTCATAATTATCTTGTAGAGGACTGATTATTAATTCAAGCTTTAATTATTGTGTTATACTTGAGAAACTTGCATGCATATAGCTAATTCTTAAAACAGATGTTAAGGATTTTGATTTCATCAAAACAAATTTTGGTTTTGTGAGATCTAAAAATGTTAACAGGTTCTTTAAATGTTAAAAGATCTAAATTAGAAAAATAGGAACACAAGCTGATGGAGTTAATTTTATTAAGTACTTAAGTATTAAATTCTAAAGAAAAAGCAAATTTAGCCTCATTTAATTTTCAGTTGTAACATTAATATTTGGATATGACATTTATCAACCAACTCATCATTTGTTTTTTAAAAAGTCATTATGGCCCGAGGAAAACATTTTGAGTACTTAACATTTCTCCATGATCAAAAATGAAATTATTCCATAACACTTAATGTATGTACCAAAAAATAATTGAGAAATTAGTATATTAGCTAAACAAATGTAAGGCTATAATAGCAATTATGATAGAGCATAGTTAGCCATGTGTGCCTACAAGTGAGGAAGGATATGATATTGTACTTTAAGTTTTAATTCTTATTATGGCAGACTTTTCATACTTATGCATGTAGAACTTCATGCAATTTTTCTGTTAATGTGAACAAGATATTCTATACAGCTGTTCCACTTTCAGGTTTATGTGCGAAAGAGACCTTATGTAGATGAGTTTCTAAAGAGGATGGGAGAACTTTATGAATGTGTCCTATTTACAGCCAGTCTTGCAAAAGTAAGTACTTGTTTAATCATAATGATAGCCAAGTTTCTTCATGTCAGATCTAAACAATTTTCAGAGGATCAGTTTTTGCTACTGTAAAATTCTTGAATTCTGGGATGTATAATATTTTTCAATTATGTATTCAAGAAAACATTTTGAATGATAACTCTACTAGCTTATCATGGCCTTTTGTTTTTTTTAATAATCTCTCAGTCTGCTTGTGACCTTTCTTAATATTCCTTCCAGCCGACTGTGACCTTTCTTGAAACCCTCCCAGCTGATCATAACCTTAGTAATTCCTCCATTTGATTATGGCCTTTCTTAATAACCCTTCAATCTGATAATGACTTTTCTTAACCCTCTGGATACTGGTAGGTAAACATGCACATCATGACATTTTTACAGTTATATTCAACATTTAATTAAACTACATTATTATCAATGTATGTCACTAAACTTCACATCAAAACAGTTAATAATAAATCAAATTTTAATATAATTTGAGTTTTAATTTTTTAGTTTCAAAAGGTAATAGCTAAATAAAGTCTCAGTATTCACTTTTCTGTATCATGTGACACTTGTTTGTTCTAAATTACACATTTTAGGTAATTTTTTCATCTCTCTCTTTGAGCTTCTGAGTGCAAATTACAAGCTTATAAATATGGCTGAGGTATAATTTAACTTTAGATCCTCCAATCATCTTGTTTTACTTAGATATAAACCTTAAAATCAACTCCACACACCATGCCACCTATTACATACTGTCTTTAAAAAATAAATTATTTTATCTGAATTAGACATGTTAATCTTCCCTTGATAATGCTGTTACTGTTATAAATAGTTGTCTTTTAAATTGGTGTGCTCTGGGATTTGTATCTCTGAATAGTAGCACATCCCTGCCACCATAAGCCTTATTTGTGGTAGTACTGAACTGTCAAATAGTTGTTAAGCATGTTGCTTGAAGTGACATGCTTCTACTTTGACATATAACAAATCATTTTTGTAAACTGTGATTAACCCTCTGTTTTTGAAGTTAAAAATGATGAAATATATGTAATTTTAAAGAAGTAAAGTAGAAGCATATCATTTGAAATATATTGGTGAAATTATTTAGTAATCTTTGTAAAATTCTTGTGTATTACTCAACAAGTCTAATCTGCTTTTATTAATCTTAATTCAGAATTTTGTCTTGATTTAGTTTCAGTAAATATCTTTGCAGTTTATTCTCTAGTACTATTGAGGTCCATATTTAACTTTATAAACTTACTGTTATCTGATGGTGGTGTTATCTTCAACAGTGTTTGTAAAGAAGTAACATAAAGTCTGTAAAATTAAATAAAGACTCCGAGAAGACTAATTAATCAGTCCTAGTATTGAATGAAAAGCCTCATTTGCACTTCATATGACAGATATAGTGTAGTTGACATATTGTTATATGTTCTCCTTTGTTTTCACTCATAGATTCTTAGAATTGCAAATGTAGTTCCTTAAACTAAGCAAGAAAAATGGTGAAAATATTACTTTTCTTTATTTTGAGCACCATATATCAAGCATACATGGAATATTTTAGATTGTAAGCCTATCCTTTGTTAACCATCATGTAAGTATTGTTGAAAAATTTCATACCTTAATCCCTTATATAAGTTAAAACAAATTGAGTTCATGCACTATATTTAATATAAATCATTAACTTTACATGTTCTTGGTTTATATTATCTTGTTTAGTGTTAACTGAAAGTCAGTAAAGATAGCTTTTATAATTGGATGACGTTAAGCTTGTGAAATCACACTACATTGTTCAGTAGAAATTTCTGGCGTGAAACATGATTATTCTATTAATTGTTGTTGTTGTTTTTTTTTTATTTCTAGTATGCAGATCCTGTTGCAGACCTCCTTGATAAATGGGGGGTGTTTCGATCTAGGTTGTTCAGGGAATCTTGTGTCTTCTTCAGGAGCAGCTACGTGAAGGTCAGTTTATCCTGCAGTATTAGAGCCATAGTATTTTTATATTGTTTATTGTAGCTGAACAATGTAACAAAAACTGTTAGACTGAAATATTAAGATATTGATAGGTAAACACTATTCAAAGTTCTTTTTTTTTTCTTCATTATACAAAATGGAAGCTTTTTTTTTTTAAGAAACACATTATTTGTGAGATTGAATATGTGACATTTTTCATCTGTGAGATGACATCACTGAGTACATGTAAATTTGCAGTTTCTTAACATTCCAGCTAAGTGTTTGGAAATAAAATTTGCAAGCTATTTTATAGCAATGAGTTAAGGTAATGCTTATGTAATTAGATAATGTCGTGGAATGAAGTGTGTAAGTTCTTAAACAACAGAATGAGTCAAAGTAATGCATTTACATCTGCCAATGTTTCATGAAATAAGAAGTTTGAAGCTTTCATTGATTATGTATGAGTTACGTTTGTTTCTCTTGATTTTAATATTATATAAATAAATAGTTACTTGGTAGTTTCATGATGATTAGGTGGTTACTTGTCTTGAGAGGATTTCTACCAGTGAAAAATGTGCCCCATAAAAACCTCATAAAAGGTTTAAAATATCAGCAGGTGAAACACATATAATACAAATAAATTTAAAGTTAGTTAATTTTCAATCCATATTTAAAAATGGTAATTATTTGTCATAATGTTCTATTAAGATTAAATAAATTTATATTTTATCAGTTTCAGTGTATTTCTGAGAATGCTTATCTAGGGCTTTTCTATCTTATTTTCTTGATACAAAAGTACACCAACATTTGCTGAGTGAAGAGATCGCTAGAATTATGTGTTGAGCTATGAATGTAACATATGCTTTGCACTGTGAGAATGCTTTATAACATGATAGGAACTTGAGTATAGTAATGAGACTATGTGTTTCAGGACTTGGCAAGACTAGGAAGAGATCTCCACAAGGTTGTTATTTTAGACAACTCTCCTGCTTCATACATTTTCCATCCAGATAATGCAGTAAGTCTTCTCCATATTTATTTTTCTGCATTACCCCCCCCCCCCCTCTTTCCTGCACAGTAACTCCCAAGTAGTCCTTGTTCTTTAACAAGAGAAACCTAAAAAAAACTTCAATAAAATAGATGTCAATCAGGATTGTGTAAGTTCTCCTTTTTATTTCATCAAAAACCTAGTATTAAAAAATGTTTTATCCAACTGATCATAAAACTGATTTGAACTATATGTATTTAAATGATATATTGAAATCACTTTAAAACTTATTAAGTTATAAAAATACTTTGAAGATAAACTGGTATTACCAATGTTTGAGGTAATTCCTTACTGCTGTTTAAGCATATAACAGTGGTTTGTTTTCTGTTGTCAGATCTAACTTAAAACATTAACTTGCCAGGTACCTATCTCCTGTTGGTTTGACGATACCTCTGACACTGAGCTGCGTGACCTAATACCCTCTCTGGAACGACTGAGTAAGATGGACAGTGTCTACTCAATAAAACATAATATGAAACACTCAGCAAAAGTACATCCACGACCTGCACAGCTCTGCTATGGAAATTCTCCAAAACAGCACATCGATACTATTCAGCCTTCATAATAAATGGAGTTCCTTGCTCGAAATTGGAAGTTCTCAGTGCCTGTTAGACATATCATGATAGTGTTATGATGTGTTTAGTTGGGCAGCGTAACCAAAAAGCCAAGGATAGAAACATGTAATGAAGGCTTCATCTTAAATATTTTTTTCTAAACAACTTCATAATTTAATTGTGCATATGCACCTAAAACACCACTATAAAACAAGAAGCCTTTGACCTAGAGAAAATAGGAATTGTTTCACTGGTTTTGAACTACAGTGTTGATGTTCAGTATCTAGTTGTTTTTGTTCACAGACATGAGAAAAAACTTGTAACTGCTTTGTTATTGCTTGTGTTTAACAAATTACTTTTGTATACCTGCAGTACAATCTCTAGCTGTATCAATGGAAGGGAATTACATGAAATCTTTTATCATTCTGATTGTAGTTCTTTAAGTTGCATTGATAAAAGCATTTTGTGTTTTTATTAGGCTTAATATATTTGTATTTTATGGTTTTAACTTTATATTAGTTAATGAACCTTTTTTCTTTGTTGATATATGTATACAAATATACATATTGTTGTTTAATATTTAATGAGGTAAGAAAACCATTTTAAAACAGTATGATAAAGAACTGTGTGTAGTACAAATTCTTAGTTGATTGATGGAAATATATACAGATTTTTTGATACTCTTTTGACTTGTGCATGTTTACATTTCTCAAGATCACAATAATCTTGATTTCATCTTTAGAAATTCTCCAGGAATATATAAATTTTTCATCATGAAAGAGTTAAGAAGTTTTAGTTTGTTTAAATAATTACTTGTATTTAACATTGAATGAAAAATATCACTTAAAAGTTAACTCTAGAAATTATGAAAACTAGTTTTACTGTCAGTTTTATTAATGTCTAAGTTTTGAAAGTGCTTGAAAACTTATTAGAAAACTATTAAACCCCACATGTTTAGGTAGTAAGTTTCTCGTAAGAGAACAGTATTAATCTCCACATATATGGAATATTAAGTTCCTTGTAAGAGAACACTATTACCCCCTGCATATACGTGTAGTAAGTTCCTTATTAAATAAGGCTACATCCACACTATAAGTTTTTAAGTTTTATAATTGTTACTATAGTGTTTTTGTGTTAATGCTACATTATACATTACTAGAATTTAGAAATAATGTTTCTTGAGTGGAAATGTAGAGGTCAATGTGGATTATGTCTTTAAGAATGTTGTGCTATCTGAAAATAATTTCTGATGATGTAGTTTATGTAATCTATACTGTCTAATCCTGAAACCAGATAAAGATTTACTTTTTTTTTAAGAACATTTGTTGAAATAGGTGATGGGTTTACAAGCAAAAGACCTTGGTTAAAATACTATTTTCCTTTGAATAATATTCATATTAAATGAGGTCAGTGCTATAAGATGAAGGATACTTTTTACTAAGTGAAAAAGATATTCAAAATTTGGGAAAAAGCTGTGAAACAGACTGTTCTGTTTTAGTCTTTAAAAACCATTTCCCACTGAAAAAGGTTTTGGCAACATTTGTAGCTTTCTATAATAGTATATGAATTCATACACTTTTTATAATGTATCAAGATATTACTTAAAAAACTACCAAAATCTTGTTGCCTGATGAAACTGTTGGAGGACCAAAGGAATGACATAGTCATTCATCTATTTCTATAACTGAAAAGTCATCTAGTTTCTGATTTCTAGTTTATTTAGAAGCCTTAAATAAACTCACTTATAAAGGAAAGTATAACCCCTGATTGTGCCATACATTTGTATTTTGCTCACTGCTAATGTTTTCTGATATCACGAAAGTACAAGGTGACAAAGTGATAAAATTATTTGATAATCACTGATGTTTTGATAATGTCAGGGTTGTAAACTATTGAAAATCTGAGAGGTTTGTGTTACTATGGGTAGAAGACCATCATGTATTAGAAATTAATTTTTTTTTATATATATTTGATTCCAGTTGGTGGTAGTTATTAGAAATTAATTTTTTTTTATATATATTTGATTCCAGTTGGTGGTAGTTATTAGAATATTTTGTTTACATTAATTACTTATTCCTAATTTTACTTTAGACTTGTTACTTAGAGGAATAGACGGTGGCCCATTTTATATGAGATAAAACAAAGTTTTGCAGTTACTGTGATAGAAACATTCAAACATGATACCTTTCTACATTTATAAGTGTCTTTATTATTCAGACTTCTGTTCAAGAAGAAAGGTAACTTGAGAAACTGCTCAATCAAATACCATCAGTAGTTGCTTAAACCACTGTGATGTTTTCTCAGAAAAATGTCTACCATACCATTCTTAACATTCAGGTTAATTATAGAAAGTGAAACAAATGCTGAACATCAGTTTTAGAAATCTGTATCCCAGTATTGCTATAGTACTTTTGAATTTTGTAAAAAAAACAAAAAAACTTAAAAATGCTTCATAACTTAATTTGTTGATGCATTTGTAAAGTGAATCATCACGTCATTTCTTTTGACCAGATGTGTTCTCAAACAAGATATCTGCCAGTATTTTTGTCATAAAAATTTCTGATTGCTTAATCTTATTTCTTGGTAGATTTTGAACAATTTTGTCAGTAGTTCGATTGTGGCATAGAAATTTTAATAGCTTGTTTTGTTTTGCTAGTAATAAAATCATTGACAAATACTAGCATTTCCTATGAATTGACTGATTGTTTTCCACTAAAATATACAGAATATATACATAAATATTGTGAAAAGAACATCTGTTATGATGTGCAGATAGTTTGAATACTTCATAAGTTTAGCACCCCCTCCTCCAGTGGTATGTCTGCGGAGTTGCAACGCTAGAAACTGGGTTTCAATGCCTGTGATGGGCACAGCACAGATGCAGCTTTGTACTTAATTACAAACAAACAAACAAATCATGAGTGTTAAAGTTATTTTAATTTTTAATAGAATATCTTGTTAAACATGAAAATATGTACTTCAAAAACATTTATGAAGATTTAGTGAAACTTGGTGCAAACAGTGATTGTTCTTCTGTGTATTGAATCATATAATAGTAAAACAGTATACAGTGTACAAAACATATACCTGTTTAGTTTTAATGAAACTTATTTGTGCAAACAGTGTGATTGCTTTTCTGTGTGTCAAGTTATATACTGCAGTAGGAAAATAATATACATTTCACAAAACACATACAGGTTCAAAAGTAAAAGAAAACTGTTTTTTGTAATATCCATATCATACTTCATGTTATTGAAATGTATTAGCAATGTATCAAAAGGGTTAGAATCACTTTAAAACTAAAGGAATTTAAAAGTTGGATAAGTAGTAGCTACCTATAATTAATGTACTGGAACAGTTAGATAATCAGAAGTTGCCTAATAATTAATATAGTAGAAAAGTCAGATGAGTTTGATCCATTTATAGCAGTATCTTAATTTTTCCGATGTGATGCCTTACCTCCACTCACAAAATAGCTTTTCTCGACTAGCACTGACCTCTATCAGTGCAAATTCTCAATGTACATCACAAGCCTTCTACCTCTCACTTCTGTATATCCACAAGCAAATGATCATGCAGCAGTTCTCCACCAATAGGAGTGTTACACCACACCTACCATAACCAGCACTCACCATCTTCACATTTACACTCGTTACTCAATTCTTGATTGACGGTAGTACTATATGGATGTGCTGGGTTTTGCTTGCGAATTTGTTAATGTTTCATGTTATAAAACTGATGTAGTTTTTCTTTACAATTTCTTTACAAAAGCTATTTTGTGAGTGGAGGTAAGTATTGGAAATACATTTTCAGTGTAGGAAAATGCTAATGCCTTTTACAGCAGTGCAGTAGTGTTATTAAGAGTTGTTGAGATTTATTTAGAAAAAGATTAATCAAAGGTTATACCTTCCCTTGAACATATGTCAATCAGTTTATCCTAAGATGGTATACTTTCTTTAAGGTAAGTCAGGGAATTTTACTCCATTACTTCCTTTCTAGAATAGTCAAGATATTACAGTATTTTAATATAAATGAACTATAATGTTTAAGAAACAAAAAAAAACAAAGATGCTCAAATAAAATTGACAAAGTATGTGAAAACTGTAATTTTTTTTACTCAAACTAAGAGGAAAGAGACGATTTTTATGTTCTCAGCTACTTGTTTTGACTGACTAGTTATATTTGGATAAAAAATGATAGGTTTCCTGATATCTCCAAACAATCCATGTTGTTGGAACTTTGGACCATCTGTACAGTATTACTGTTGTCCGTGAAATTAGAATTCTTTTATTTTTTGTTACCTCTTAATGGTGGCATATAAATAAACTTGTATACTGAACAGATATTATTTTGGGTATCTTGTTAGGTAAGGCAGTTTGTGTGTCCATGCAACATACCATTCTGCCTTATTAAAAGATTTTACATTTCAAACGTAATACTGTAGCATTTATAAGGAAACACAAGACATTTTTTCTTCAACTATTATTAAGTGATTCAAGATGAAACTGGTCATGATTAATTCCTTTGGCAGCTACTTTCTTATATCTTTATTGCAGATTTTTAAATTGAAGGTACTCCAATATGAGAGAATTTTGGCAAATGTGAAACTGGTCTTTTTCACCGACCAAGAAAAGAAGATCTGAACCTGTAGAAAAACCTTCAAATACTATTACTGGTTTTGTTTATAAGTTGAAAGAAATGGTCATAAGCACTCTTTCAGAGTTCCATCTCGATAAGTTGAACATTTTGTGACTAAAAAGTACAAATACTTTAGTAACTCATTCTTTCTCGAGCACCAGAAGTCATTTAAAATTGGTGCTTGCAAGAAGGTCAAGAGTGCTCTCAGTGTATCACAAGGTATATCATACAGTATTGTAAGTTGTTCTGATGTGTTAATGAATAATTAAGAAACACCATCATTGAGAATTGTTTTTAACTTATTAATAACATGCTAAAGTATTTTGTAGACTACAAGAAAAGCATTTTCAGCAGTTTGGTAGAATACATTAAGGATGCATTAGAACTAATTCAAATATAAAATGGTATTCTTAAAATATCAAATTATATATTGATTTTATTTGACTATATACCACAGTAAATGTTTCATTTTTTGGATATTTTGTTAAAGATGCATATCCAAATTATTCCAATAAATCAAATTCAGTTAGGAAGCTGCTCATACTCTCAGTGGTTTTTACTACTATCTGCTTGTAAAAATATATTGAATGCAGTCACACTGATGAATATGGTTGTAGTTCCATAATTTTAGTATCACAATAGTAATAGACAATTCAAAACTACCAAAGAAGTATCTTCCTTAAAGACACTATGTACCTACCAATGTTTTTATAACAAATTATGCATCTAGTAATATGTACTCACTGATCACAATGCTGGTACACTACATAGATTTATTTGAATATTCATACCTACTAGAAAAAATATTTTACAGAAATATATCTTGCAGTAATAAAACATCAGACACACGCTTAAACTTATATATGCAACTAAGTGCTAATTATAGTATTGCCATATTACTTGTCATTTTCATGTAAGTCATGGTTCATTTAGGACCAAAATATGTGATATTGATTTATAGTTAATTTCTAATTTTGCATCTTTTACAAAAAGTATACATAGAATTAAATTAATTGGATTATAATTTTCATTAAAATCATGTACCTTTGATGAACCTTTTATTTTACATACACATATCCATAAATGATCATTTTAAACTATGCAGTTTATATCACAATGAAATAAGAAACATTCATTTGTACTTGATTATAGAAACTTTCCAAAGTTTATGAATTTATTTCTTTTTGTGATACTCTACTATTTTTACTATTCACAACTTTCTCTTTTTCTCAGTTTTCCTATTTCTTTCAAGCTTCTTTAATCATTTTCTGTATAACATCCAAATGGCACGAGCCACAAACTTCTTCTAAGCTGTTTATTCCAAGCAGTGGTTGTTTTCAGTTTGTTATAATATTCTTTCTCATCTTCCCCTACATCTGTGTTAGTGTTTTTCGTTCTGTACTGTCTTCTTGAGATTTTCATTCCTTCTTTAGCCCATATTTCTGTTTACACTTCTTTGCTTCAGCTTCCTCTCACTCAACCTTAATGTTATTTGCGAGCTTGATGTACATATGTTTTGCACTTTCTAGAAGGTCCATAGAAAATAGCATCAGATGATCTTTGTCTCTATTTTGAATTTCATCCTCATTGGTTACAATCCATTAACTTATTCTGTTGACATGTTGATTCTGTCAGTTGTCAGGACTTAATAATGGCCATTTTTTACATCTGCATTGTTGTGGCTCAAATTAAGGGTAACCTTCACAGTTTTGGAAATATGGTATACACTGATGTTTCTGATATGGTCTTTTCACTCATTACTATCTTCCAGTAATGACTAATTTTACAGTAATCATTAGATTTGATCTTGTCACATACAAATCTTGTGAGATATCTTAGTTTTGGTAGATCTGCTACTACTCATTCAACTAAGACATCTGTTTACTTGTAATCACATGAGGCACTATACTTTTCATGGGTGAAAGATGAACAGGTTTTTAAGTGGCAGGTGCTTCATTAAATATTTACTAATTTCCTGTAGGAAAGTATGGATGTCTTTCAATATCAATTTTTGATGATCCTTCGAGAACTTGAACAGAGCTGATTTTATGCTTTTCAGATTAACTTGTAGCAGTGTTTGTTTTTATTCTCGCGTCACGTTTTCCCCTCTTATATATACCAAACTACCCTATATCTAGCAAATACTAGAGCATTCGTCAAGATACGGGATAGTTCTAGAAACGTGGCTCACTGTAGTCATGTGACTCGCTGACGCAACACTATCAATTTTTAAGAATTACATTTTGACAAACTGCCTGTGCTTTATAGTAAGAAATTCTGAATTAATGATTCCTTTCTCTCAAATAATCTTAACATTCTATCAATCAAAAGATAAGCCAGTGGCATATCTGTACCAGAACAGTTGTTCTTCTCTGAATGGAATTGATGACAGATGTGATTTTTTTGTTCTCTAGTCTTGTTTAGTAGATCAGTGAAAAGTAACTATATATATCATCTAACATTTTTATTATGTGTCTGATAAAGGTTTTGTCGTGTCCTAAATCCATTTAAGTAAAATAGTCTTCCCTGCTGCAAAAAAAAGCAACTTCAACCAATATGACAAATCAATATTAAGTTGTTCCAATTTTTGTCCGTATTAGTGAAAGCCTCGACAACAATGAATTGCAAACACAACGCAAGATTCTCACCGAGTTACGTAACTAAACTTGTCATAACTATCGCCTTTAGAATGATTAACTTTTAACTCTCTTGTTACCAAAAAGAAACTGAACAGTCATGAAATATTAACTCACAGAAGAAATTAAATAGTAATACTTACACTAAACAGTCTTGTATATCAAACACTTCTCGTAATGGTCTTCCAGCACTGGTGGGTCAAAAGATAGGTAATAAAGATGGCCCTTCACACCAGATCATAAAACTGCACAGGTTTGTTTGCATGAGGCCAGCAGTGGGCCATTCTGAGATTGTGATGCTCTGGCACAGGCCGAACAATTAGTGTAATCACTAGTTATGCCAGCTATGGCATTCTAGTCTCGTAAATCTCAGTGCCAGACCCCTGTTTCTGTTTTGTCCTGCTCT